TTTTGATTTGCCAGTGGGAAAATAGGTATGAGAGAATTTCAGAGTGCAATATATAGAGATAGAGGGGGGAAATGGAGGGGTAGACTTACTTGAAGGATTGATTATAAAAGCTGTTGGAGTTCCAGAAAGAGAATGAAGAAAATGGAGAAGTCATTTTCAAAGACTGTACTGGCTTAAAATTAATATAAGGCACAGATTTAGAAGTGTCGTGAACCTTGTGCAAAATACTATAGTAAGAATATGTCCAGGTCTTGACTCCTGGAAATGAATTAGAAAAACAACAAAGAAAAGAGAGGATTATGTTAAAAATAGCCGGAGATTAAAATACAGTTGCAAAAAGACCACAATTAGACTCAAGACAGACTTTATAACAACAAGCATGAGAGTCAGAAGAGAGTTGAATTGAATTTAAAAGTCCTGAGAAATAATAACTATTAGCCTCGAGCAAAAAAAACCTTCCAGGAATGAGGGTGTAAAAAGGCTTTCAGAGGATAATATCTGCAAATACACAAAAGAAGACGTTACTTCACCAGACTCTTACCAGATGAACTATGTAAATGTGAGCATCAGACAGAGATGAAATGAGCTCAACAAGGGCTGAGATGCACACGGGAATAGACAGCAGAGGAAGTGGTAGACACATGCGTAAATCTGCATATACCAATGGATAATGTGTGCTCCACACAATCAGAATATTTATATACTGGTGGGAGGTATGGAAATTGATGCAGTGACTTTGGAAAACAGTTCAGCTTTTTCTAGTAAAGTTGACATACAGTTCTCTATTCTCTCCGACTAAGCAATTCCACTCTTAGAAACATCAGGAGAAATGTATGAAATAAAACCTCAAACAAAATCAGCTTAAGGAAAAAAAAAAAACCCACTGATGATAGAATGGCTAAATGATATATTTGATCACATAGTGAAATCTTATACAGCAGTCAAAATATGTGAACTGCAAGAACATTATTAACATGGATGGGTGAATGCACATTGCTCAGGAAATAAATCAAGTTGCCGAAATTCATATAGAGAATGAGTCCATTCATCCAAGTTCAAATTTAAATGGTTTATTTATTCAAAAAGGACCTATGTGCTATTCCAGCTGTATAGTCACTGTTCTAAGATGTTTGCGACATCAGCTCATTTAATCACATGATGAGCTAATGGGCACTGTATATTATCTGGCATATATGCAAATGCAGAAAATGATAAAAGCAAATGAAAATGGGGTGCCTGGGTTGCTCTGTCAGCTAAGCGTCCAGCTGTTGATTTTGGCTCAGGTCATGATCTCAGGGTTGTGAGTTTGAGCCCCATGTTGGGCTCCCTGCTCAGGGTGTAGTCGGCTTGTCTTCTCTATCTCTGCTTCCCACACTGCGCCCTCCCCCTATATGAGCTCTCTATCTCTAAAAATAAATAAATCTTTCAGAAAAGAGCCAATGAAAACAGGAATGTAAAACACAAGATTCAGCATACCGCAGACCTGGAGGGATGGCGGCATGGGATCAGCAGGGAAACAGTGGAGGATTCAAAAGCTGTGAATTTTAATTTTATAAGCTGGATGGTAGATTTATGGCTGTTCTTTTTTATTACTATTTAAACCAGGTATATGTTTTCTATCCATTCTTATATATGAGTAATACATTTCATGATCAAATATAGAATAAGTGAGAAAATTTTGAGTTGCTCAATAGATTAGTAGATCCAAAATTGGACACTCATAAGGAAAATGTAATTAAGTTCATATTGTATACAGCAGATAACAATAAAGTCCAGATGGAGTAAAGACCTAAATATGAAGAGTAAAACTATCAAAATTTTGTGAAAATCACAGAAAAAATATTGATGATAAAAAAAGGAGGAAAGAATTTTTTTTCCAGTGAAGCTTCAAACTACGTACCATAAAGGAAATAACTGATAAATTGGAAGGCATTAAATTAGAAATTTTTATTTTGAAAGAAACCATACAAAATGAAAAGACCTATCATAGACTAGTAGAATGTATTTTTCACCCAAGTAAATGACAGAGGATTAGTATAGAGTATATGGGAAATAAAACTATAAATTAATAAGAAAAAACAACAAAGAATGCAATAGAAAAAAAGAGCAGGGGATGTGAACAGTTAGTCAAAAGTGAGGGCAAGGTACTTGAGTAGCCCCTAAAATTAAAAAAAAAATTCTCAGTAATTAGGAAAATACAAGTTAAAATATGAAGGAATTATTATTTCAGACCCATTACACTGGTAGATCTTTCTTACACTGGATAATGCCACGTGTTAGCTGGATTCGGAGAATATGAGAAATGCACACATTTCTGAGTGGAAATGTGTAAAATCACTTTTGAAAACGACTGATCACATACCCTATAACTGCAATTTCATTTCAGATGATTTGTCCTGGAAATAACACTGGCATGTGTTCACAAAGAAAGATTCAAAAAGAAATGGACAGCGATGGGTATTGCAGTGCACGTTAATACTTTCTAATAAGGAAGGTATATTAAGGTCCTGTCCTGCTTGACAAGAGATACAGACTCTTCATACAATAAGTATTTAACTGAGTGTTCATTTAATTGAATGCCCTAAAGCAGTGAATACTGTTCAGTGCTGGAAAGAAATGAAGTGTCAGGTGATTGAAATGACCTGGAATAAACTTGAATGCCATTATTCAGAGGAGGAAGCCTATCTGAAAAGGTAACATACGATGCTGGCTGTATGACACTCTGTGAAAGGGAACCCTATGGAGACAGTAAGAGGATCCATGGTTGCCAGGGACTCAGACATTGAAGGAATTGAGTGCAGTGAAACTCCTCTGTGTGACACTAATGGTGGAAGCATCATTGCACGTTTGGTAAAACCCATAGCAGTAAAACCCTAAGAGTGAACCCTAATATCAGCTGCGTGGAAAAGTCAGAGCGGATTGCCGAGTTTGCAAGGAGGGCCAGAGCATGCATACATGTTGCCTTAGTTTCTTTTCTTTTTCGAGCTAGTTAGCTGAAGGGAGAATGAGATCTGCTTAACTTCTTGCGGTAGTTCACAACGGTAGGCTTCCTTCTGTACAAGGAGAGCTGGAAGTTTCCAGTACAGATTATAACTTAGGCTGTTTCTTTCTGAGTTTTATGCTTTAAAAGACCACTTGTCTATAGATAATAGATTATTATTAACTTCATCCATAAAATGTTGATATTTTGATTTGTCTTATATGCTTTTGTCTTATTAGTTCTTAATTATTTCAAAACTTGAGCTGAGAAGCTGAATATGTAGTATTTTTTGGACTTTCCTCAAATTCCCCATACCACCCAAATCCCCAGTCCTCTAGGTACTGGGTGTTTGACATTGCTCAGGTCTCTGCTTTTTCCTCCGTACTCTCTCTGCTTTGGTTTATTAGTTGCCTGGAATTAAAGTAAAAGCTTAGCTGTTCTTGTTCCTGTCAGAACCACCCGTAAATCATTCTTCACACTGATGCCAGAAAAGTATCTCTTAAAGTGGAGATTGTATACTTTGGCATTTCTCCACCGCTTTTTATATTTATTTCAAACTCTAAATTGGTCCCACTTAGCTCTTTATGATGTGCTAATTGTCTCCCAACTAGTTCCACAGCTAGTGACTTTATCACATGCATTCTTACTCTATCACAAGATGTTCCCCATGCTGAAGTCTCACAGCATTTGAAAAACGATGGGCCAGTATATTTTTCTGCCTTCACACAAATCTTTGCTCATTGTCCAAAAGGAGCTTATACCCATTTTCATTTCGCCTACAGCACCTCATCTTTTAAAGCTAAAAACTTGTGTCTGGGTGGCTCAGTTGGTTAAGCGTCCAACTTTGGCTCACATCATGATCTCAGTCAGGGTCCTGGGTTCAAGCCCTGTGTGGGGCTCTTGTGTTCATTGGGGAGTCTGCTTCTCCCTCTCCCTCTCCTTCTGCCCCTCCCCCTGCTTGTGCACTATGCTCTTGCTCTCTGTCTCTGTCTCTCTCTCATGTAAGTAAATAAAATCTTTAAAAAAAATAAAGCTAAAAACCAAAGACATTATTTTTCCAGGAAGTCTTCCCTACCTTCCAACTAATGTATGCTTTTCGTGTGTTTTCTATACACTGTACAGTCTTCCAATTGTCCATCTGTTCATTCCCTCTGTCATCCATCCATCCATCCATACATCCTTCCATCTGTCTGTCTATTCACTCATTTCTAAGTGATGATGGTGCGCCCACCAGGTACAGCGGTCTGTGAATTGTGCTGTGAATGCAGGAGTGAAAGGGTAGGTGTCCTTCTTGCTTCCACGGTGTTATACTCTTTCTCATACATGTATCCTATGGAACCATAATGAAAGATTGACCTGAGTGCATTATCCACTACTGAGTAAATTATTTGACAGCAATGAAAACCTTTGGCTTTCAGTCTGTTGCACCTACCATGTCTGTGATACGGGGTGTTATTAATAAATGTTGATTGACTAACTTACAGTATAACTTAGCTTCTATACATTTCTTCTCAGCTCTGCAATTTCAGAAATTATTATCTTAATTATATAAATACTTGCATATGAATCTCCCTCTTGCCACTTTGAATATGTAAGAGCGGGTGAAACAGGGATGAGGAGCTGCTGGATTAATTGTTGCAGTGGAAGAGCCATGTTTATTTACCTGGTGGACTAGAAGGTTTAACCAGACCTTAACGCTGGTTCCTAATGCCAGCATCTGGGACTCCCTTGATTCCCAGGGATCCCAGCCCTGTCCTTGAGCCTCCCATTTATTCAGTGAGTTTTGAACAGTTTTTCAGTAATTTCTCTCTTGTACCTTCATCTATTTATATCCAGCTAGTTGTTGTTGCTAAGACCGAGAACTCCCAACTTCTCTGTTTACATGAAATTCAGCATATTACCAAAGACTACCAAATGTTCTTTATAATATTGAATGCGAAACATATTTAGAAAAGCTTATTGTGTCAAATCTTCAATGGAGAATCTACTGAATTATGCCTATATGTTATCCCTTACCAAGGTACTTTGCCAGGGGACCTCCCAACTCCACCAGAAGTGTCAGCTCCAGTAACGCTGCCTCCACACAACTGTACAGACGATCAATTTGTTTGCAGGTCCGGTGGTCACTGTGTTGAAAAAATCCAGAAATGTGACTTTAGAAATGACTGTCCTGACCAGTCAGATGAATCATTCTGTGGTAGGTGAATTCCTGTTTTGTATTAAAACATAGCATAAGACGGATAAGACAATACTAATATGATCTTTAAGTAGCATGGCCTCATGTCCTAGTTAGAAATTTTCGACTTGGCTTAGAATAGGTTCTTAAACGTAAAGATTGCTTGCATAGAAAATTATAGTAGAAGAGTCAGCATTGCATTCTTCTGTGATGCTCAGCAAGAGGTAAGTGTTTCTAAATTGAAGTTTTAGATTCAAAACACTTGTTTCATGGACTTTACTTGACTCTGGGACTGTGATTGACTAGCTCTTTTTTATCCACTCCCCACCTCCACCATTTGTCTCTCTTCTATTCCTCACATTCACGAAATAGGAATGTTTAAAATGGAAGTATTTTTTAAAAATATTTTATTTATTTATTTGACAGACAGAGATATAAGTAGGCAGAGAGGCAGGCAGAGAGAGAGGAGGAAGTAGGCTCCCCGCCACGCAGAGAGCCTGATGTGGGGCTCGATCCCAGGACCCTGAGACCATGACCTGAGTTGAAGGCAGAGGCCTTAACCCGCTGAGCCACCCAGGCACCCTTAAAATGGAAGTATTATAATACTCTCAAAATAGATGAATTTGTTCAAATTTTGCCATTGCCAAAATAGAAAATGAATACTATGTTAAATATGTAGAATTCATAAGAACCAGTTCTAATACAGATGGGCCCTTCAGCACCTGTGTCCTGTTGAAAGATGGTTTTTACTTATTGGCACCTGCCAATCTCTGGCTTTTAGGGCAGATTTTTAATTTAGAAGTGAACTACTCAGCCAGAGATACAGTCTTAGAGGAAAAAAAAAAAAATTGATCTGTGTGCCTGCAGGGGCAAAGCACAAGCTCAGAAGGAGTGAACACTTTTGCTTTTTTTCCCCTTCCCTACTATTTATTGGATGGTGTATGAATTCCCTATACTGTAATATTTCTCAAGTGTCCTAATGATATGAAGGGTTCAAACCATGCAGATAATACAGAGTGTAGTGGAACTCTCTTCTATCTTCTGTCAGCATTATGCAGAAAATCTAAAACTTGAAAAGCCAAATAAGGTTCATATTAATTTAACATAGAAAAAGAAATGCTTCTTAATGTATAGATACACAATAAATTAAACAAATTAGCTAGACCCCAAAACTCATAAAATCAAAGCTAACTCACTCTGTGAATGAGACAACATAGTCATTAACTCAAGTTGGCTAGGGATATGTACGGTGCATTGCAGATGGGAGATAATATAACGGAAAGTGTTGTGGTATCCAGACTTCCTCGTGGGAAGACCATATCCTGTTTTGATCACACCGAAGTTGTGTTTCTGAAAGTTTACACAGAATTGAGTTAATTCCGCCTAATGAATATCTTTAGTGAATACTGACTTCTTTGTTCACCTTTGCAATTTTAGTGATGTCATTGATGATTGGGTAGGCAGTTTTGATAAAGTTCTTTAAATGTCCTGAATGAATGTCTCCTGTAAAATTATTATTTTAAAATCCTGGGGTTATTAATTTACTTTGAATACACATGAACTGCATTTATTACTCTCAAATTATGTGGTCTTTCTTCCTCCATCTTTTTGTAAGAAGAGCTGTTATATAATAAATCTGTCTGTTACCTACGGTCTTACATTTTTAATGTTTTTTATTTTATAAGGAACACAACACGAGAGCTGCCCTCTTAACAAATTTTTAAGTGCATGATGTATTATTGTTGACTGTGGGTACAATGTTGTACAGCAGATCTTCGAGCTCATTCGTCTTGCTTGACTAAAACTTTATGCCCTATAATTTAAAAAAAAATCAATGACTAGTTTCTTTTTTAATGATATAAAGAACAGAATCCTATTGAATTTTAAATGTCTGGTGGGTGGGGATATGGGATAACTGGGTGCTGGGCATTAAGGAGGGCAGGTGGTGGAATGAGCACTGGATGTTATATGCAGCTGATGAATCACTGAACTCTACCTCTGAAACAAGTAGAAAAAAAAAAGAAAAAACAATTTTAAATCTCTTCACAAGATTAATATAATTATATGATCACTATTAATGTCAGAGATTAAATGACATGCCTGAGTGTCAGGATTAAAAATCACTTTTTTTTTTTTTTGATGGAGTGTTTCCTTCTCAAACTTTACCTTAAATCATGAACTCACATTCCTAAAAGATGGTGATGGTTTGCCAACATTGCTTATACTATTTAAAATCTGGAGTCTTCTACAGCACACATAGGAACAGTGGAGAATTTAAGACAGACACACGGACATCTTCAGAGAGGAAGAAAGAACAGTTCACACATAGCCTATGTATTTCACAAATCACTGGACTTGTAATTTCTTTTTTTTTTTTTTAAGATTTTATTTATTTATTTGACAGACAGAGATCACAAGTAGGCAGAGAGGGAGGCAAAGAGAGAAGAAGGGAAGCAGGCTCCCTGCTGAGCAGAGAGCCTGATGCGGGGCTCAATCCTAGGACCCTGGGATCACGACCGGAGCTGAAGGCAGAGGCTTTAACCCACTGAGCCACCCAGGCGCCCCATGGACTTGTAATTTCATGTGATATCAAGTTACAGTCATTACAAGGACATTGAAAACTTTCAAGGATAATATTATTGCTTTGAATTTAAGGAGTTTGGAATTTAGACTAACCCCTTCAAAGGCTGAGCTGAAGTTCAGCTTTGTAATAATACTATGGCAGAAGAACAGACTTACCAGAACTTGGTAAGCAATGTTTAGAAGAGACTTGGAATTCCGATTTTGCTATTTGAGGACCTAATTAAAATCTCATCTCCTTATCAGAACAAATTCTTCAGTATATGCATGTGTTTCCATGTTATAGCTGCTGTAGATATTTGAATATAGTACACATAGATTTCTTTAAAACTCTTCTCATGATAATAGAAATCATTTTTCTAATTATTTTAATTATGCTTAAGAAATGATTAAAAAAAACCAAATAGTAAGAAAGTGCTTGATACAGGTAGAAATTACCTTTTGTGGACGCATTTATTGTGATTAGCTCATTTGTCTTCGTTCTACTCTCTTCAAGCTACAAAAGTTTGCAGCTTTGAAAAAGGCAACCTGTGTCAGTGGTACCAGCCAATCCCAGAAGACCTAATTCAAGATTCAAACACATTCAGATGGGGACTTGGTAATGGAATCAGTATTCATCATGGGGAAGAAAATCACAGGCCAGTGGTGGATCATACAACGTAAGTGACCACATGCTTTGAACATGTCTCTTAGGAACTGTGTGTTAAGCAGTTCCCAAATTCTTGCCATACTGTCTTACCCTAAGCCAATGAATGATGAAATTACAGACTAAATGGGCTAAGTGTACTCTTTCATATAAAATTGAGAAAAAAAAAATACAGCCATTCAGTTGAAAAAAAGCTGTGAATCAGAGCCTCTGGGTGGCTCAGTTGGTTAAGAGTCTGCCTTCAGCTCAGGTCATGAACCCGCAGTCCTGGGATGGAGCCCCACAGTAGGTTCCCTGCTCAGCAGAGAGTATGCTTTTCCCTCTCTCTCTGCCCCTCACCCCACTCGAGTCTGCTTCTCCCTCTGCTCCTTACCCAGCTTGTCCTCTCTCTCAAAATAAATAAATAAAATCTTAAAAAAAATAGAAAAGGCTGTGAACATTCGTAAAAGTCATAGAAACTAGAGAAAAGAAAATATAAGAAAAATAAGAAAGATAATTTGTAATATAACTACTCACTGAAAAGTACTATTAATATGTTGTTTTAAAATTATCTATTCAGGGATGCCAGCCTGGCTCAGTCAGTAGAGCATGTGACTCTTGATCTCAGGGTCGTGAGTTCAAGCCCCATGTTGGACTTGAAGCCTACTTAAAAAATTAAATAAAATTTTTTTTTAAATTAAAAAAAAGAATTATCTGTTCATTCCTTCCCCTGTCCAACTCTTTTATCTGTTTTCTTTTTCTTTTTTTTTTTTTTAGCTCCTCCTTCTCTTCACCCCTTTCCCTCCTCTTCCAGTCTTTGATCTTCATTGTCATTTATTTTGGTCTTTCCTTTTCAAGGCTTCATAACTTACACCTCTCCCTGTTTTATAGGCCACAGATATATTGAGTGCTTCCTTCTTAGCAGATCCCACCCATCATTCAGTATTACTGAAGACGGCAAGGGGATCCCCATTTATATTACAGAGAATGTCTTCAAAACCTTTATGCCTTCACACCTTCAAGAGCTCTCCTTGTGTGGCTTCTGTTTCAAAGAAAACTAACAGTGGCATGTCTGCTGCCCGTCCGTCGTTGCCCTGGCCGACATGACCTGATGCTTGAAGAGAGCCATAATACCTTCTGGGCTGACTTTTTTACTCTGGTTTCCTGATTTCTCTTTTGTTGTTTTATTTCGTTGAAATGGTTCCAGTTTTACCATCATTTGATTTCAACATTAGCAACCATGTTGCCCAAAGTATATAGAGTGGCGGATATGAAGACCGAGTGTTTAGATCACTTTCAACAGTTGGCAGTGAATTGTGGAGGTTTCTGTCTACAAATTTTCCGTGGGCTGCTTCTGACTCATAGAAAAGCAAAGGGCAATTTCAGGAAGTTTCTCTGGCACATCCAAGTAAACCACGCTGCCTTAATAATCTGTATTTCCACCAAGAAAAAGGCGGACTAGAATCTCCCTTCTATGTGGTAAAGGTATGAATAGAAACATGGTAGCATGTTATAAGCACAGTAAGAGTTGGCTTTTAACTTCCTTGTCTCTCTCCTTGCCTTGCCCATCCCCAACGTAGACTGTTCAGTCTCTGAGGAATCACAGGGTCTGTGGCTTCCTTCTTTACTGCATTATTTCTAAATGACTGGTACATAATGAATCTCCATAATTATTTGTTGAGTGAATTAGTTGATGATTAGAACCTATATATTTGTGCTTTATAATTATAGGCTGCAAGAAAAAAATATATTTTAAGTAAGAAAAAATTTTTAAAGATTTTATTTATTCATTTGACAGAGAGAGAGAGGGAGAGAGAGCAAGCATGCCCATGAAAGGGGAACAGCAGGCAGAGGCAGAGGGAGAAGCAGGCTCCCTGCTGAGCAAGGAGCCTGCTGCAGGGCTCTATCCCAGGACTCTGGGATTGTGACCTGAGCTGAAGGCAGTTGCTTAATGGACTGAGCCACCTAGGTGTCCCTAAATAATATTCAGTAGTCAGATAATGTTTAATAGATGAGCTCTACATGACAATCTGGAAAAGGGAGTGATGGTCCCAAAGCTTGCATCTCGCCTAGCTGTCCTCTCCCCTCTCTCTAGGCTCCTTCTGCAGCCAAGGAAGGTTTGACATTTTTACTTTGTCCTAAGGAGTAGTTTTTATGCATCATATATCCATCCTACTCAGTGGCTTATAGTATATTTCCAAGCTCTATTTTCCAAATTTTATTATTTTATATTTAAAGGGAGGCTCACTCTTCCTTCCTTTCTTTCTTTCACTATTTTTTTTTCATTTTATTTTTTCAGTGTTCCAAGATTCAAAGGGAAGCTTTTTCTAATTTAGAAAATGTTTTTCTTCTCTCACATGTTTGGCTCCAGAAATTTAAAGCCAGGTTTTTAAGCCCATTGTGTTTGAAATAGTTTTCAAAACCCAATTTTGAAAATCAAAAAGCTCTGGACCAATTCTTTCTTCGTCTTCACATTCTATGATAGCAGCTCTCCTAAAAGCAGACATGGGTTCAGGCTCAGGTTGGTAAAAATCAGAACTGCAAAAGAAAAAGAGCACATTAGTATATTTCAAAATATTCTCTCACTTCATATACTTAATGAAGCCATAAAAGTCTAGGAAAGTAATGGTGGTGTGGGAATATGTCGGGAAGTTTTCATTGTGCAGTCAAGTCTTAGATAACTTTTTTTAAAAAAATCATTTATTTATTTTATATATAGAGAAATTGGGGGTGGGGGTGCAGGGACAGAGGGAGAGAGAGAATCTCAAACAGACTTGACACCCAGTGCAGAGCCTGATACGGGCCTTAGTCCCACGACTCTGCAGTCATGACCTGAGCTGAAACCAGGAGTCGGATGCAACCAAGTGTGCTGCCCAGGTGCCCCTCACATAACATCTTAATATGTGTGATTCATGATGAAAATGTGGTAAAAGCTAAAAGAAGCGATGTTCCAAGGGACATTCTACAGTTTGGTCTTCACGCTTTCATGGCCTCATAAGCCTAAGTATCCGAAATGTAGCTTAAAGAAAGGGTTATTTCTTTAGTTTTCACTTTGTGGAGAGTACCGCTGGTTTATTCAGCACTTTCATATGACTTAGAAAAAGGTATCTCTTTTTCTCGGGCTGGGGACATGCAGCCACAGCCTTGGCACAGGGCTTGGCGAATGGATTCTTTCTACACTCTGCTCCGCAAGGCCCAACTAAGGGCACCTAAGTGTGATTTTTACCTAGGATTGAAATCAAGGCACATAGAAATCAACTGTTCTCAGCGATACTCCGGTGAAATAAAGTAAATTGCTTTCAGTGTAAATACCATCAGTTGTGATTTGCATGTTCTTTTGAGATTGGGGTTGGGTGAAATTTCCATTTCCTTTAACTTATACAGTGACAGGGAACATTTAGTTGAAAAGTTATTTTCTTAGTGTTTTGGAAAAAGAAACACAATGTAGTAAAGAAGGAAAAAAAAATGCTCAGAAGAAAAATGAGCTTATAACCATTCGCTTACTGGGTACTACTGGGGGAACTCAGCAAGAACATTAGTCCTAGTCAGTTGAGAATTTTTTTTTAATTGCTTAACATTGAATTAAGATATTTGGATTGCCTAACACCTAGCCTTTGAAGCTAACTCAAATTTAAATATGTTTAGAATATTGTAGATTTGGAATTGTTGTGTTATGACCTGAGTGGAAGCCAAGAGTTGGGTGCTCAACTGACTGAACTCCCTGTTTGTAGTTTTATATGATCTCAGACTTATTTACTCTGACCTCCAGATTCGGTTTAATTAGCCTAGTCTTTTAGCTCAGGCAATTTTACCATAACATGTAAATTGGTTTGTATCTAAGTACCATAAATTTATAATTGTTTTTATCTCTTAGAAGGAGACTTTGTTTGATCCAACTTACTATTTATTTTATTTTATTTTATTTTTCATTTTCAGCATAACAGTATTCATTGTTTTTGTACCACACCCAGTGCTCCATGCAGTCCGTGCCCTCTCTAATACCCACCACCTGGTTCCCCCAACCTCCCACCCCCCCACCTCTTCAAACCCTTCAGATTGTTTTTCAGAGTCCATAGTCTCTCATTGTTCACCTCCCCTTCCAATTTCCCTCAACTGCCTTCTCCTAACTCCCCATGTCCTCCGTGTTATTCCTTATGCTCCACAAGTAAGTGAAACCATATGATAATTGACTCTCTCTGCTTGACTTATTTCACTCAGCATAATCTCTTCCAGTCCCATCCATGCTGCTACAAAAGTTGGGTATTCATCCTTTCTGATGGAGGCATAATACTCCATAGTGTATATGGACCACATCTTCCTTATCCATTCGTCCGTTGAAGGGCATCTTGGTTCTTTCCACAGTTTGGCAACCGTGGCTATTGCTGCTATAAACTTACTATTTATTTTTATTGCAAGAAGCCAAGGAGAGCAAAGTCTTGAGTTCTTGTTCCTTAAGTCAATTTTTAAAAAAATTTTTGGACTAAATGCCCATCTGTTGGTTAAACAAGGTTTAATATTAAGTTTTATCTGGAGTATAAAATCATCCCCTTGGGCAAAGTTAAATTCTCCACACTTCATTGTTGATATGGAAAGATGTCTAGGGAAATTTATATGCCTAATCAAGATTAGTGATTTCTAACTGTGCTCACAGAAGCCTTTTGGAAGGTTTTTGAAATGGTGATTGGGGCCACTGTCAATTTATATATACATACAATATATTTAAATGCAGATTCAAAACACTTGATTCAAAATCTCAAGGAGTACATCTGGGAATCTGTATTTTAGTGTAATTCTTAGAAGTTTCTAGAACCTCATCCCTAGATGCCTCCATGGCAGGAAGTGGGGAAGGTATTGCTGAAAGACAGAGGTTGGCTTTCTCAATTCCTTATTCCAGTTTTGGTCACAGCAGATTCATTTTTCTCTAAATCTAGTGACTAATTAAAAAAAAAAGTACAATATGTTTCAAGACAAAGAAACAAAATGTTCTAAGGTTATTGCATTTAAAAATAATATGAAATTTGTGTCTTGAAAAGT